CTCTCTCTCCCCCCCCCTCTCTCTCTCTCTCTCTCTCTCTCTCTCTCGATCCTGTAGATGGAGATAGATGAAGCTATAGAGGCCCTCAGCTCTGTCCCTTGGGAGAGCCCTGACCAACATGGTGCTCCTGAGGGGGACGCAGGTGGGGACAGCTGGAGGCCTTGGGGAACCTGGCTTTAGTCCCCTGTGGTGCTCATTGGCCTTGAGCAGGGGGACGGGTGTTCAGGCCTTGGAGGAAGGGGGACGGGGTGCAGGAGGGGCTCCCGAGGTCTCTGGACCCGCCCCTCCCTCGGGGTCAGTGGGAGCCCAGGGGCAGTTACATGGCCCCAGGGTGCTTACAACCAAGCTGCTTCTAGAGCATTCCGTGTGGCCCCTGGTGTCCAGTTAACATTCTGGGTTGGCCAGGGAGCGGCCCAGCGGGACCCAGCCAGGCCCCAAGGCCAACCACAGCTGCAGGCCCGCCACTGGCCACCACCGGAAACCTGGCGGCCCCTTCTTGGAGAGGAAGAGAGATCAAAGGGCTGCCCAGTGGGAAGACAGGCTTTCCTGGAGGGAGCCCCGTCCTGTGCCTCTGGCCTCCCTAGTGGGCCGGGAGCTGGACACCGCCCTCTGCCCCTCTGGGCCTCAGCTCTGGTCCACCCTGCTCTGCGGCTGCAGGCTGCCCTCAGGCAGGGCTTTGCCCCAGGCTTCTTAGCCCTGGGGATTGGTGGGTGGAAGGAGAGAGAGGCCTGGGCCCCGTGTAGACGGTGTCCCTGTCGCCCAGGTGACACCCTGTCAACAGCTCTCCCCACAGCGCTGCTTCTTCTGGCTCTGCCTGACCACGCCACTGCTTGACCTGGAGCCCACGGGTGACCACAGCCCCCATGCGGTAGCCCAGGCACTGGCCAGTCTCTCAGCACCTTCACGACTCTCCTCTAGGAACCCTCCGTCTGTCCTCTGGTTCCGGCCGAGATCCACACAGTCACCAAGCTCAGGATCAAACATAAAACGCATTTGCCACAAATAAATATCACGACCAGAACGGGCATCGGCCTGAGCCTCAAGTCGAGCAGGTCACGTGGTGAATTTGGTAAAATGCCATTGAGCACAAGGGACATAAACCCACCCACTGCTTCCTGCGTCCCCTAAGGAAGTGGCACTTACGATCATGGAGGCATCAATCGTGCCATGCAGCCAAAATTGCCAGCATTGTCAAAATCCAACAGACCGGCAAGAACTCCCAGCCACCCACGTGGCCGGCTGGTCCCCGCCAGGCGGCCCTGTGCCACTGGGCACAGAGGTGTGGGGCCAAGGGTGACACTAGGGAGAACCTGTTCCAGGAGGCTAGAACAGGAGGCCAATCAGGAACGCAGGCCTCCACCCTCCTGGCTAGTGCCCCTGCCCCAAGGGCACCCTCCAGTCCTCTTGGCCTCCAGTGTCCCCTGTCCCCGACTCTGCTGACACAGGAGCACAGGACAACCACTGGGCCGCCCTGTCCCTGTCAAATGACACTGCCCCGGCCGATGCGTTCTCCCCCTGCCCAGGGGTCTCTTCCTGGCCACGCACAGGCACGGGCGTGATCAATGGTTTCTGTTCAGTTTCTTTTTACTTTACTGACGGCAACCTTCCCCCAAAGGAGAAGCGGGAGGACTACCTAGAGAGTCCACTGTCACCTGCTGCCTTCCCCTACACAGGACTGAAAATGAGTCGCCAGGGGGCAGGGGCCACTGTCAATCACGCAGTGTCGTGTCGGACGAGAGGGCACAGGTGACTGTCAATCACGCAGTGTCGGACAGATGCAGGTCCCGAATGCCCGGGTCAGGTCGTGGAGGAGGGCCGGGCGCTGGCCTTCGGCCACCCTCGGAGCACGCTGCACACTCTGGGGAGAGCGAGTTCAAGGCCACGTGGCTTTCCGTTCAACGATTCTCAGGCGTATCCAACTGTCCTTGTGCTAGAAGCAGCTGTGCCCGGCAGAGCCCTTGCCTGCTCATTCTGGAGCCTGCGGCATGTGGATGGCAGTTCGATGCCCGTGTTTGCTTGTCTCTGGATCCTCCTCCACAGTCTGAGAGCCAGCCGGCGGATGTGCAAGGCCTCGGAGACTTTTTGAAGAATGTTCTCTTCCCAAAAAATGAAAGGAAGCGGCCTTCGCTGGCAGAGCCCAGGGCCCGGTGGCCAAGTGCCTGGCATGAGCCAAGGCACAGGAGCGGGGTCCCAGGAGGCAGGTGGAGGCTCAGCTGTCGTCCTCCTCCTGGAGCAAGGCTTAGGACAGTCTTCCACATCCAGGGTGGATTAAGCACCTACTGTTTACAGCCTGCCATGTTACAGGCAGGAGAAGGCAATCTCCAAAAACAACCAGTCCGTGCGCTCGCTCTGTGGACTTCCTACCCCTTATCCTGGGTCACTGACTCTGTCCATCCAAGGCCACTTAGTCAGTAACTTGCCCTCCCAGATCCAGAGGCCTCTGTGGCCAGTTCTCCACTCTGTCACCGCGGCAGGAGGAGAGCGGCAGGCAGCTCGGTGACAATCAGCCACACTGGTGACAATCGTCAGCCAGACTTGATTCACAAAAACAGGGCTGGACAGATGGGGCCCTCAGGTCAAGGTCATAAGGTGGAACCATGTAAAGTCACTGACCTCCGGCTGTGGCAGTTCCCACATGGTCCCCCAAAGGTCGGGGACACAAAGTAAACAGACGCCTCTCACACCAAGAGAGAGCCACGAAGCTGTGGTCAACGGAGGGAGGACGTGGTCCTCCGAGCGTTCCCGTGAAGCGAGCTGACGTTCCCAGTCAGGTGACCTCAAACCCGCGTCTCCTCGCCGTCCCCCTGGATGGACCACAGCGGCCTCTGCTCCCACGGTGACAGGTTCAGCCCTGGGATCCCAGTTGGATGACACGGGGCCTGGCAGGTGCAAGAGCTTTGTAGAAGGGGGGACCCCTGGGGCTGCAGAGAAGCACGGCGTCACTGATGGGGACAGGCCAGCTCCCTGCAGCCGGCACAGCCTTTGCAATGGGCGTCTTGGACATCGCCACACGGGGCGGGGGCGGGGTGCTGTCCCCGGCTGGATTGACCCAGAGGGACTTGGATTGTGACAGGCACCCTCCGCAGGACTCTAGGGAGACACCATGAAATGCTTGGGCCTCGGGGAGCAGGTCCTTCCCAGAGCCACGTGACCCTCCAGTGACTGTGGCGGAGGCTGGAAGAGGGTGGGCGAGTGGAAGGGGCTGCCATCAGTCTGAGCCTGCCCAGGGCCCCAGGGACAAGGGAGCCCATTCCCATGGAGCCCCAGGCGGGGCTTTAAGGCATGTCACTTGACACCCAGCCTTGAACCCTTCTGGGAGGACTCACTCAATGACATCATGACATCTTGTGGTCACTTGGAGGAAGCCACAGTGCTCCTCTTGGGTCTCAGTCCTGAAGGAGAAGGGCCCCCATTTGGTGACCACCAGACAGAGGCACTGAGTTGGTCAGCTTTGCGTCACCGTGACCAAAACACCCCACGAGAACAACTGGGAGGAGGAAAAGTAGATTGGGTTTGTCCCCCACTAAGTGCCCGCAGGTGGGGAGCCAGGGAGGAGCAGAGACTGCTCACAGAGGGCTCTCGGGGGGGCCCAGCAATCGGAGCCCCCGGTGCCTCTGGAGGTAGCCCTAGGGCGGTGCTGAAGCAGGACGCTGGGCTGGTGGTCGGGCAAACTTGGCGCCTTCAGTCCATCCAGCCCTCCCGGGCCCACAGCAGCAGGCAGAGGCCTCAGGTCTGCAGCTGGAGGGGTGGGTGACTCCCAGGGGAGGCTAGTTGGGGAGGCTGGCCGGGGAGGCTGGCCTCCGCAGGATTGCAGATCTATGCTCAAACAGGGAAGGCAGCCAGTATCTGTCCCCCGGAGAGTGAGGCTCAGACTTGCACCCCACCTCGGGTCCAGAACGCCCACTCTCCAGCTCGGCCGTCCTGCTACCAGCCACCACCCCGATACATGGGTGCACGCCCCCCCGGGGCAGATCCTCCGAGGCGTCTTCCCCAGGAGAGCCGAGTGCCAAGCCAAGGCTACGGAATTAGTATTCAGAAAACATGCCCGCCCCACAGTTTTTCCAGCCAGAGGGACGAGCACGGCTCTGGATATCAGAGGGGTTCCTCCAGCCCCACAGAAACCAAAACAGATGAAAAAGGGCTGAGAGGGAGGTCCTTGGGGACACTGCCCTCCAGGGAATCCTGGCCTCCTGGAGAGAGGTCCAGGGGAGCCAGCGGGCGTCCACCCAGCCCTCCCTGCTCCTGCAGCCGCCGTGGCCACCTGAACCGGGAGACGGGGCCAAGGCGGCCCTCGTCACAGAGCCTGTGCTGGGCCGCTCTGACCGTGAAGCCCCCGAACTGTGAGCTGAATAAACCTCTTTGTCTGCATGAGCAGCCTGAGTCAGGTGTTTCGCTAGAGTGACCCAGACCCAGGGACAGCCTGCAGGCCACACAAAGGACGGCATTATGCCACCCACGACGCACGTGCTTGTCCCCGGAGGGCAGAAGAACAAAACAGCAAACTGCCCCCTACCCCAGGAAGAGGGCGTCTGTTCCCAGGGACGCGATTCCCTGGGCATGACGCAGCGTCACTCTCTGGACTTTGTACCCCTACCCTGGGTGACTGGCTCTTTCTATCCAAGGCCAGAGTCCATACGTTGCCTTCCCAGATCCGAAGGCCACTGTAGCACGAGAGCAGCCGCTGATGGCACAGTCTGTTCTGGAACCTTCCACAGCCAGACTAGCCCAGCTAGTGCCTTCATAAGGTGATTCTCACGCTGCCTGGCCCCAGCTTCCCTGGACCCTCCCCTGGAGGTTCTGATTCAGTGGGCTGTGGTGACGGTGTCCAGAACATTCCAGAACACACGCCTTTGGAAAACACGTGGCCCCGGCCTGCTTAGGAGGCCGCCTCCGCCTGGACCCAGGTGTTCTAACAGTGGCCCTTTGAGATCGGTGACACTGAATTTGGAGCACTGCTCTCTGAGGGGCCTGGGGTCTGGGCCCTGCCGCAGCCACCGGATAGAAGGAGCTCAGATGCAGTGGCTTCTGGGGGCCAGGCTGAGTCACCGTCCATGCCACCTGGGGATGGGGCTCCGGGGAGGCCGGCCTCAGCCCACCAGAAGGCAGGAGGCTCTGGACATCAGAGCTGCCCCTGATGGCAGAGGGGCCTTGGGAGGCTGTCGGTCACCCCTCTGGTCTGGGAAGGAGCTGCCTTCCTTGGACCGGGGGCTGCTACTTGGAAGGGGGGTCTGCAGAGGCCCCCAGATCCCCGTCACCTCGGCCAAGGCAGGGCCCTGGCTCTGAGGCTTGTAGGCACCCCCAGTTATTCCAACGTGAAGTCCACACTGAGAGCCCAAGGGGGACCCCAGGGGAACCCCATCTCAGAGACAACAGGCTGTGGGGCAGCTGGGGACATGGGCACTAAAAGCCCCCTCCCCCTTCCCCGTGTGTCTCAGCAGGAATGTGTCCCCAGCCGCTGGAAAAGCCTCGACTCGGGGAGCGGGGCTGGCAGTGAGCGACCTCTGGGCTGCTGTCCAGCCATCTCCATCTCAGCTGGGCCCAGAGAGGAGGCGGCAGAGGCCAAAGGGAGGAGGAGGACACACGTCCCCTTCCCACAGCCCGGCCGTCACCTCAGATGAGTTGAAGTAGGGCAGAAGCACAAAGAAAAATAAACCTGTCGAGCACCAGGTGGACACGCACAGGGGCCACCCTGTCTGTTCCACAGAGGCCACATCGTTTCACCTTGACGCAGCCCCATGAGGGACAGTCAGGGGCCATTACCAGCCCCTGTTTTAACCCACCAGGAGACCGAGGCCCTGACTGTACGGAAGCTGCCCAGAGCAGCCCAGCGAGCCAGAGGTGGCACTGAAAGTCGCACCTGGGGACAGCCCAGACCTGGGCCCTTAGGTACCCGGCTGCACTGCCTCGTCCAGAAGAGGACCTGCCGGGAAGGAGGGGCCGCTGGACGGTCAGAGGGCTTCCTGGTGGGAGGACTGGCCGGAGAGGTAGAAGGGAGCCCGTGTGCGGAGAGGGGAGCGAGGGGAGGCGCAGCGCAGCCGGGAGA